CTTATCTTCTTAGACAAATATAACACTTCTTGTCTTTCAACAGCTCTGCAAAGGCAGAAAAATTTGCCTCGTGCTGCCTTCAAAACCAAACAGTTTCTTCAAACTCCATCTACAAAAGGAGGTAATTAACTTTACGGCCTCGTGTCGAGCTCCAGCAAATCTCTGATAACTGCTCACCTGCATTAAATCTCACACATTCTACATTAATAAAATCGCTGCTGCATGTCGAGGTGAACCAAGTGGTCCTTGCTGTATCCAAGTATGTAACTTTCCGGTCTAAACATTAAAAACGCAGCCCTGCATCATGTAGGAAAGAAGGTATTAAATGGGATTTTGAGATAAAATCCAAGGATTGATGACTTGTGGTGTTAATCAGGGAATCTGGATTAGAAAAGTAGAGTCCTGAATCCTTATTCATTAGGGCTACATCTGGATGGGAATTTCTTTAATTGGAAAACACAGTTTTGTAAAACAAAAGTTGTAAAAATGTTCTTTTTTTTTTTTGACTGTGGAAAAAATATACATTTCAAGTGAAAATACCCTTTGTGCTGGCAACAAAAGCTACCGGGTTTATCCTTGAAACGATGAGCAGAGACCTTTGCGCATACCTGCGCGCACCTGCCTGCGCTTCCTCGTTTCCTCTCCAGCCTGGCAGATTAATCCCAACATACAGTAATTTACATCTGTATTGATTTCTCACCGTCCAGTTTGCTAACGGCTGAGGTTGGCATCTTTTTGAGAAGAAAACGCGATAATCCCGCGTCTCTCATCCAGTTAGACAAGTTTTAACTGATTTGTGATGAATGCTGGCGGTCTCGTACGTCACGCTGCCTCAGTTTCTCTGCTAAGATGAAACAAGCTTATGGCTTTGCTTTTAAGCATCGTTGGTTCTGTTGCGATCTAGAAGGCAGCATTTGAAACATCGCGTTCCGCTTGAGACCAGTCCGTAAGCTCCACCTGCTAGAATCCCTCGAGGACCGGAGGAGCCTCCCGTGCGCACGTGGAGGGTGGCTGACGGGATGCCTGCGTTTCTCTCGGTGGTTTAATGACGCCGACCTCTTCCAGTCACCTTCCTCCCGTGCCGAGGGATTTAGCCAAGCATAAAGACTTTGGAAACAGATTCACGTGGCATAATGGGAGGCCTCCAACAGGCTTCGTAGTGTCTCGTGCTGCACAGAAAACGGTTCTCCCCGTGCTCTGCTTTGACGTAAGACCACATCTCGCTTCCTCTGCAAAGCTTTCTGCGCTGTCTCTCCAGCTGGCTCTGCCTTCGCCTTCATCTGGGTGTCGGGAACACTTCCTAGAATTGATGGGGAGCTGTGGACATGTACAGAAAATCAACTTCTCTGAGTTTGTGTTATCTGTAAAGTTTTATTAGACCGTAGAGAACGAGGAACTGAGCGTGCTGCGCTGCCGCTTACGTGTTCCCGTGCCTAGCTGCCGTCGTTCCTCACTGCAAATGAGGACCCAACAGGTCCTTCGCAGTTATCTGCTGCCTTGTAGTCCTTGATGTGTTGATTTTCCTGCTTCTGATCTGAGATTTTCATGGTTATAGAAGCGTCGTGCGGTCACAGAACAAGACTTTGGTTTCAAAAGAATAAACTATGGGCAGCACTTCGTTTTAGTACCTTAAAATGCTGTTCCTTACATAGTTTGGCACCTTTCACACACAGACACCAGTGCTGCTTTTACCGTTTTGTGTCAAACAGTTCAAAACACATTCAAATAACTCATGACCTCGCTATAACAGATTTAAAGCTTACACAGCAGTCCAGTATCAGTCAGATCACAGAAAGGTTTGGGTCATTTGGTCCAACCCCCCTGCAGTGACCAGGGGCATCTTCCACTAGACCAAGTTGCTCAGAGCCCAGTCCAACCTGACCTTGAATGTTTCTAGGGATGGGGCATCCACAGCCTCTGGGCAACCTGTTCCAGTACCTCACCACCCTCATTGTAAAAATCTTCCTTATATCTAGTCTGAATCTCTTTCCTTTGAGCCCAAAACCATTACCTGCCCCTTGACCTATCACAACAGGCCCTGCTTGCCCCATCTTTCTTATAAGCCCCTTCAGGTACTGGAAGGCTGCAATAAGGTCTCCCCGGAGCCTTCTCTTCTCCAGGCTGAACAAGCCCCACTCTCTCAGCCTGTCCCCATAGCAGAGGGGCTCCAGGTTTTTGTGGCCCTCCTCCGGATCTGCTCCAACTAGTCCGTGTCCTTGTGCTGAGATGACAGAACAGTTGATTGACTCCCATTGGTTCATCTCCTCTGTGCTTCCGTATTGGTCTGAACCATCACAACAGTTACATGATTTAACAGCTGCACCAGCACCGATTCTGGTTTCAAGTTGGTGTGCAGCGGCTGGCCTCGGGGTGCAAACCAGATAAGGTCGTAGCTTCACCGCATCGTACTTTTCCCGGTGCGGAATCGCTTGCTCCCTGCCCAGAATCCAGAGAGGGTGGGAAATCTCGATGCTGTGACTGCGCAGTGCCCTTTGTTTTTATGGTTGCCAGATGTTTTAACTGTAGTTGCTTCTAGTTGTTTAGTTTCTAAGGAGATGGGGTTGTGTAAAGTTGTCAAGCGCTACCCTTACGTGTTTGGGTGTTTTTATTAAACACGGATCAGCTCGATACTGCCCACGGGGATACAGTTATCAAATTGCCTTTGACTAAGGCAGTTCCTCCCTCTGTGTGATCCTGCCTCAAAACCAGGCCAAACTGCATTCTATTATATACCCAAAACTGCTCTAAGACAAAATTCTTATGTGTAGAGCAGCATTAGTAGGCGGTTTGCCAGAGACTGCGTCCCGTGGGCGGCTTTGGCGATCCGAGCACAGACAATTCGGCCCCTCATGTACAAGGATGAAGAGTGCCCTCAGCAGTGTCTGCAGGGCTGTGCTGACAGGAAACGGCTCGTGAACCGACAGCTCCGGTTGGAAGCGGGGTAAAACACGGGCAACGCAGCGCCGGTGAGAAAGGAGAGGGCTGATTTACTGGATATGACAAGCGCTTTTCATCGCTTCTATTCTCTACCTAAAGGCCTTTTCCCTGTCGTGCCTAGAAGAGGTCCAACGCTGCGGGCAGCGTTCATACCCTGGCATTGCTCTGCTGGACGGTTGCCGACATCCTGTGCGTGTGTTCCAAGCAAGTGTTGTAATGAGACATTCAGTGATAAAAGCTCCCTGTGTTTACACTGTGGAATCCCTTGGAAACTCTGTGTATTCGACTGCACCGACATTACAGGCAATGGCACATTTTGAACACATCCAGTATCTTAGTCCTGGGAGCACTTGGCTGCTCATTCTGCTGTTAATGCTTTCCTTAATCCATCCTCTGGCTTGACACCAAGGTTTTTATTTTAGGGGTTTTTATTTATTCTTCCCACTACTTACCAGCTGTCATGTATTGCTGACATCTCTCCCACCTTTTTTGTCAGCTTTTCCCATGAGTGGCTTCATGCTGTGTTTGACATCGCTGCCAGGGGAAGCGCTCTCTTGGATAATCAAGAAAGGAATCAGATCCACTTCACATCTGCAGTGAAGCACATATTAATCTTCTTAGACATCCCCTAAAAGGAATGGCTCCAAAATACAACCTGAAACGAGCACTTCTTCTGCACCCCATTTAGGATGTCACCTTCCTGTCAATCCTAGTCCCTCCTCATGCTCTTAGTGGATCTACCATGTACACAGTAAAAGCTGCGGGAAGGACCATCTTCTTGGTGTACAGCGTCGGTCGAAGAGGATTCGGCTTTGGTCTCTGTGTAAATTTATTTAGTGGAGGAAGGAGAGTTCATGCAAATTCACTAAACGTGATTTTATTTCACTTTCCCGATTGTCGACTGTCACCAACCCACCCAAATCAGTTTTAAAAGCTAGTGAAATGGCCTTTAATTATTAAGAGAATGGATCAGTCTTAAGTATTCTGTTTAGTGATACATGATGCAGAGTTTGAAAATGTTTCACGTGCTCAGGAAGAATTACGTGGGAGGTTTGGCATTAGCAAAGAACTGTTGAATGGTCGTTTTGTCCGTATTTCTGCTGGGAGGATCAGCTGTCAGTCACTGCTAGCTGTCATCTAGAATTCAGAAGTAACCCCTGAGTATACAGTATGTAAGGATTCTTGCTGTTGCATCGACGGCGTTGAGTACAAGAGAGATACAAAAATAGATGGAGTGGCGTACGTTTGCACGTCAGCCTTGTTGCACAGGCAGTGTGCTGGAAGTCTAAGCCTCTAAATGGGTTTATTAGTCTTTCCTAGAAGGAACTTGGTAAAGAGCTGTATTTTACATACTAACTCTGATACAAAGTATTTGAATTCAGCTATTGGTTACACTGATAATTTAGGGTAATGTTTGTGAAAAGAGGAAGGCTGTACATTGCTGGAGTTGCCTGGTTTAAGTTTTATAGCGGGACCTCAATCTTTTTTGTGCTGGGAGTTGCCTGGCTTTATCTTTTGTTCCCCGTCAGCCAATAAATCTGGGACGTGACCATAGCTTTAGGTGAATTCTAATTCAGTGGATTTGGTTAAAAAGAAGTGCATGAAAAGAAAGCTCAGGCTGCTCTGTGCTCAGAATTTCGTCACTGAGAGCTAATACGCGCTTTGAATCCATTTAAGGACCGTGTCACACGAGAATCCCGTGTTCTTTCAGGGATGGCGTTAGGCTCACGGGTTTCTGAAGCAGCTAGATTTCTTCTTAGCAAATACATTCTCCTGCATTTCTTCCGACTTGACTGATGTAATGGTTAGGGCCTTACTAGTATTACTTACAAATCCAGAGAAACAAATATTGGTAGTAAACAAATGGGGCATTAGAGCTCTGATATCAAAACCACGTGGCAAAGAGGACATCTGAATTCCTGTTTCTCATTGCTGCTTGACCGGCTGTATTCCATCACCCATCCCATATTGTTTGAATTTTCACATAAAGTAGTTTCCTGGGTTTAATTGCAGTTATACTGTAACTTAAGCTTGAAAGTTAACTCCCGCATTTTGTTTTCCAGTACCTTCTTCGAGTAAATTCCGCTCGCCGGCAGCACCGTCTCCCCTAGCTCTCCGACAACCAGTGAAAGCATTTAGTAACCACGGACCCGGCTCGGTGGCTTCTCCCGAAGCCGCACAGCTGACGCACAGCAGTTCCTCGCCGGGGCACCTGGCAGCCCAGGGCGGCGGCCTGCCGAGCCCGGCCAGCGGTATCAACAGCACTACCCTTACCAGACCCGCCGGGACAGCGGGGATGAGGAGTGGGCTGCCCAGACCCAGCGCCCCTTCCACGGGGGGCATCCCAGTGCCTCGTAGCAAACTTGCACAGCCTGTTCGCAGGTGAGTACGTCACAGGAACTCTTAGTTGGAAGTTTTCCTAAGGAATTTGGTGCACTGCGTGTTCGTGCTGCGGTTCGTATTTTGAGTGGAAATGGAAAATTCCACCTGAAGTACCTGCCTGTTTTTCCAAAACAGATTTGAAACAGAACCAAAAGAAAAAAGTTCTTGAATTAGAAGGTGGAGTGAGGGAAAGGACTAAGGAAAGATAGTGAGTAAAGTAAACCAAGTGTCTCAGTCTGGCTGAGAAGGCAGTAAGAATGTATCTGCGTATGGGAAAAAGTCATCCAAATCTAGCTGGGAAGTGGAACTTCATTTGTACCTCTGACTGACGCACTCTGAAGTCAGAGCTCCGGCAGTTCCCTTTGCCATCCCTCTGTCAGGCAGGGGTACCACCACGATGACAACAGTTTCCCTCCTCCAGCAGCTAGGCAGTGTAGGAAGGCAGAGGGGTGAGGGCAGAGGAGGAACCCGCAGCACTTCCCAAGCTCACATCAAACTAAACGCGGTTACCCGCAGGGCGAAACTGCGTGTTCAGCTCAGGGGTAGCGCCTGTGCTGGCACCCGGCTGTAGCAGTTGCTTTGGGAAACAACCGCAGGAGAGACGAAAAGGTGCAGCAGGTGTAGAAGCGGAGGAGTGCTGCGCTGCAGTGAGCGCCGGGGGTGACGAGCCACTGTCACGCCACCGACTGTTCCGCACGCCGAGCCGGTCTGTCAGCGACGTGAAGCTCCGCGTAACGAAAAGCGGTTGGTTTTGGCAGGAAGTCCTTGAGGGCAGCGAAGCGTGGTTATCTGATTCACACCTTGTCTTACAGAAAAGTTTCACTTCCTCAACTGTCACAGCTTTTTTTTTAACCTTTGCCTCCATGGGGCAGCGTCTGTACGCAGTGCGGTGGTGAGGTGTCTGCAAAGGCCGGGATTCTGACGTAAGCAAAACCTCACCCTCTAAACCAGGTTTTAAACAGCCTGTTCTTACGTGGCAGATGAAGTTTGTGTCCTCACAGAGCACAACAGCAAAAGTTCTCTCTCTCTTTACGCAGACGTTTTTCTGACAGGATAGTTGCCAAGATACAACGCAGAGCTTGAAACTGAAAATGCTTTGGGGTTTATCTTGGGTAAACTCCATTGCGGAGAAGTAAATGAGCAAAGTGTGTATTCCAGTTCTTTATAAAATGTTTACGCGTTGTAGGTGGAGACCTCAGCGGTTACGTAGGAACTGAAACACGCCTCGTTTCGTTTCAGATCCTTACCCACTCCCAGAACCTACGGCGGCGTGAAAGACGAGAGTTGGAAAGACGGCTGCTACTGAACCGCAGAGCTTAATGCAGCGTTCCAGTGCTCACGGATGCTTCCTCACCAGGCGAAAAGACAGCGTGATTCGACAGACTGTTCAGATGTGACTTTTGGGATTTGTAAAAATTCCAAGCCTCTCTGTCTCTAATTAGCACAAACTGGCAGAGATTATAAAGCAGCACTTTAATGACATCTAACATCAGATGTTTGGTGATCACACAATCGCTTCTGCATTAAATTGCTATCAGTTCCGGGGTTTGTTTTCCTTGCTTGCTAAAAGTGTATCAATTTGAGCATTTATGACAGTGGCCAATGTCTGGGCAAAAAAACCTAACGAATGCCAAAGAAATGCCCATCTTGAAAAACAGCAAGTGTAACAGTCAGCTTCCATTGCCCAAAGCTTCGTTTTCAGCAGAGAGATTGGTGAGCATGTACGACTGCAACCAGAGCAGTCAGAGCCGATGTCCTGACTGCAGACCGCTACGGCGCGAGCGGAAACGGTGCTTTTAACCGCCGTAGGAGAGTCTCTGCGGGGAAGGTGGTACGTACGTCCTCCAGAAGGAATCACGGGTTACTCGGGAGGATTAGGCAGAACAGTACGTAGTAGCCATGGCTGGTAGTAACATTAAGGCTTGAACGTAGCACGCACGCAGCAGCGCAGGCGGCATCTCTCCCGTGTTGATTTACCAGCTTTACGTGCTCTCACCCGTCTGATTGCCGAAAGGGCTTTACGAGCTTCCTTATTTCTTCTTCCTCCAATTCGTCCCCTCCACTGGAGGAGGGGAGGGGGATTTGTGAGAGCGGCTTCGTGGTATTTTGCTAGCCGGGGTTAAACCACGACAGTGTCAGTTGTACAGTCTTTCTAACCTTAAAGTTCCTGGCTCAGGAAAGATGGCCTTTTGCTGTTCTAGCCACGTTTTTATCACATGGCTGACATAATGGCTCGCTCTTTGGGAAAATCTTTTTTTTTTATAGCAGGTTTCCTTGAAAAGGAAAGGGCAGGTCGTGAGGTTCGTGTGTCCTAATGCCGTAGCGCTGCGCTCGCAGCCTGGAGCAACTGTAAATGCCACTGGGTGAGGAGGAGGAAACACAACTATGCACTTGTAACATACAAATTTTAAGGTGATGAGTTGACTCTTGATGCCAAATGATATTCATTTAGGTGATGTTCCGTGGGACGAGGGAGTTTTCTGTATCCTATTTTTTTACTTTCACCCGTTTCTTAAATTGGTTTATTTTAAATTGTAAATATTTTTACAGAAGATAACTGCCCACGTAAGTGTGTTTCAATATGTACTTGGCCTTACGTACGTGTATCTTACGTGACCGGTAGCGGCGTCTGAA